AGTATGCAGGTTGAAGAAGAGCTTGTATGGTTTAAAACAAGCTCCTAGACAGTGGTACAAGAAGTTTGATAGCTTCATGTGTAGCAGTGGTTTTACCAGATGCCAAGCAGAACATTATTGCTACATCAAGAGGTTCGACAATAGCTTCATTATTTTATTATTGTACGTTGATGACATGCTCGTTGTAGGCTCAAACATGCAAGAGATTATACACTTGAAGCAAAAATTGTCGAAGCAGTTTGCTATGAAGGATTTGGGTGCTGCAAAGCAGATTCTTGGGATGAGGATCAAGAGAGACACAAAGTCGGGGACTTTGATGTTATCACAGGCTGAGTACATCAACAAAGTACTCTCCAGGTTCAACATGCAAGATGCTAAACCAGTAAGTACACCTTTAGGTGTTCATTTTAGACTCTCCAAATAACAGTCACCAAAGACGGAGGAATAACGTGCATACATGGTAAAGGTTTCGTATGCCTCAGCAATTGGAAGTCTGATGTATGTCATGGTCTGTACCAGACCAGATATTGCTCAAGCAGTGGGAGCTGTTAGTAGGTACATGAATAATCCGGGCAAGGTACACTGGGAAGCAGTCAAATGGATCCTCAGATATCTGCGGGGTACCACAAACAAATCACTTTGTTTCAAAGGTGGAGATACGATACTGACAGGCATTGTAGATGCTGACTTAGCCATAAATGTTGACATCAAAAGGAGCACTACAGGGTATGTCTATACTCTAGGAGGAACCGCAGTGAGTTGGGTTTCTCAACTACAGAAGATAGTTGCTCTCTCCATAACTGAAGCAGAATATGTCGTTGTTACGGAAGCCAGCAAGGAGATGGTTTGGCTCCAAAGTTTCTTGGAAGAGTTAGGCAAGAAACAAGAAAACAATGTCTTGTATTACGACAGTCAAAGTGTTATACATCTAGCAAAGAATCCGTCTTTTCATTCCAGGACAAAGCACATACAATTGCAATATCATTTTATTCGGTCTCTTCTGGAAGATGTGATTTTGAAGCTTGAAAAGATTAGTGGAGCTCAAAATCCGACAGACATGTTGACAAAGACGGTGACCACAGACAAACTGAAGTTGTGTTCAGCTTCAGTTGGCATGCAAGAATAACAAGACTAGAAATACTGCTGCATCGATCGAGGTGTGAAGACAGATTAAAATCAGTCTTCAAGTGGGAGATTGTTAAAAGTCCAAAGGTTGGCAACCGACTTTGAAAATGGTTTTCAAAGTTTGGTAAATGTTTCTTTGAAAGTGGTTTTCAAAGTTTGGTAAATGTTTCTTTGAAAAATGTTTTTCAAAGTTTGGTAAAGTTTGGTAGATGTTTGTTGAAAATAGGAATGGGTAAATTCACTTTAGTCATTGCACTGTAGGGTATTTTCAAAGATTAGTCCCTAAGTTTCAACTATAAATACCCTAGCTCATTTAGTTTCAAAACCATCCCAAATCCCAAAAATCATTTCTTTCTCCCAATATTAGAGAGCTTTCTTGTGAGTAGTGAGTGTTTTGTAAACACCTGTAAATTTCTCTCTTAGTAAAAGATCTGCAGCTGTCCGGAGACGTAAGCAAATTGGCTGAACTCCGTTATCAATTTCGGGTATTATTTTTCCGCTTTTATTTCGCATTCTCACTAATCTAGTTATAGGAAAATTACTCGTACTCGGTTTATTTCCTAATATGGGGGAATCCCACATTCCCCCATCCAAACACCCCCTTAAGGTTATCGAAATTTAATGATAAATATGTGGATCTACTGTCAATAAAACCGCTTATTTGTGTTTAAAATGGAAAATAAATTTTATTTTAACGAATGAAAAAATATATTTTCTATTGGACATACTTAAGCATAGTACTAAGTTAAATTGTATTATTAAAATGATAATTTAGATTTTAAATCTAAGAAACATATGTAGGTTTTTTAAACCAGATCAAGTTATTTGATATATTATTACAAAAATTAGTTAAAAAAATAATGGCAGATGCCTATATGGTATATTATCTAATATATAAAAGTTTAAAAGTTTATCTGTCCATATAGAATGTTCTTTTTTTGACTAATATAAATTTATATGTTTTTGGATTAAATTTTGGTTTAGTTAATATTAATATTATTATAATACACCATAAATATAAATTTTTATATATATTTTAATAGAATGAGGTGATTATAATATAGTATTTATTTATTTTTTAAGTTATAAATTTTAATTTTAATTTTATATTTAACTTTGTTATACTTTTAAATAATATAATCATAATAATATTATAAATTTAATTATTATATTACGTTCTAATTATTTTTTTCCCATAAGTTCCAACGTTGTTCAAAATTATGAGGAATGGTCATTTTCAGTTTACAAACCTTAAAGGAAGAGGTTGGCAGCAGTCCCCATTAGGGCCGTAAATAAGACGAGATAGATCGTGGGTTATTCGAGATTGATTCGGTCAAAGCTCGATCAACACTCGAATTGAATGAACTCGACTCGAATTCTTAACAAGCTAAAACGAGTTACTTAATACTCGACTCGAAAAGCTCGCGAGCTACTCGAAAAAAATACTATATTATAATTTTAGATTTTTTAAAATTACATTATTAAAAATATATTAAAAATACGTTATTGATAATTATAAATTTTTTAAAAAATATTTTTAAATATAATATAAGATTTTTGACTCGAATTCTTAACAAGCTAAAACGAGTTACTTAATACTCGACCGAAAAGCTCGCGAGCTACTCGAAAAAAATACTATATTATAATTTAGATTTTTTAAAATTACATTATTAAAAATATATTAAAAATACGTTATTGATAATTATAAATTTTTTAAAAAATATTTTTAAATATAATATAAGATTTTTGTAGGTTCAAATTCGAGTTTGTGTTCGAGCTCAAAATCGAGTTTCAATCGAGCTTGAGTCTCGAGCTTCAATCGAGCCCCTGAATTTTTTTTTGAGTTCGAGCCTTTTCGAGTTCGAGTCGAGTTTCAATATTATATTTCGAGTTCGAGCTGAACTTGATAATTTTTAGCTCACGAGTTTTTAAGTCGAGTCGATCTTAATTTTAAACTTTTCGAGTTCGAGTCAAGCACAGCAATACTCAAGCTCGACTCGGCTCGTTTACAGCCCTATGACATAATCTCCAAACCTTATAAACTTTTGTTCACCGACTTTTTAAATAGATGCAATTTAGTCCATTTTTATATTAATTTCAATTTCACATTTTATAATTATTTCGATTTGATCCCTTCCATGTGTGTTGTTTAATTTATTTAAATTTTTGTTTGTAATTTGATGTTTGTTTAATTTCGTACTTTAAATTATATTTTTATCAAAATCGACCCATAATTATTTATACTTTTTGTAATTTATTCTAAATCATATACGATCAAATTATAACTCGATGTTCATGAAACATTGAAAGGCAAAAAATAATTAACCCAAAAACAACCCAACCTGAAGTCAATCCGTATCCGGTAAGATCCGACTTGAATTTTGTTTGTTAATGATGTAATTCAATCCGAACGAGATCCGAATGAAGTCCATCCGGACCTAAATTAACGTGGTATTTAACTAATTCAGACTTAGATCGTTTTAACCTGAATTGACATCGATTTGAACCAAAATTAACCCGACCCGACCCAAACCTGAACTGAATCTAATGTCAAATCAACCTGAAAATGATCCGAATTGATTTGATCTGAACCCGACCTGATCCGAGTCGAACTATTAAATTGATCTAACTCAACATGTATTCGATTTGAACTGACCTAACAGAATCCGACTGAAACTTAACACGATTCGAACTATTAAATTTGTCGTTTCAGATTTGAGACGGATTGTCCCGGTCGTGAATAGGCGTCATACAACTGTCGCCTATCCGACTCAATCTGTGTTTGTGTTATCACATATGTTCAATAGTTTTCAGATAGGAAAACAAAATATATAATAACCACATTATTTTGATAAAATTAGCCTTCTAATTTTCCTCTATAAATGATACATAAGATTTTGCGTACTTCTCGGGTGTACGAATACGAATTTGGAAAAATTGCGCTAATTTCAGAAGTGACGTCCATTCAATGATTACATTGGTCTTACTTCTAAGATAATTCCACGACATAGTTAACATTTTGTGATTGTTATTCGATTTATTTTTCAGTAAATACTGGCATATTTGTTTTATAATAGTATCATTTCTACAAGGGATGAAACCACTTTAAACATCAAGCAATATCTTTTTATCTGATTGTGCTTAGGGACATGATGATAATAGCTATCCTACTTAGTTCGATTGCGCCTTTTATTACAAAAGCGTTGATTTATTTGCTTTCGTGTTGTAAATTCCAAAAGTTGTGGTTGTAAAATCATTATTAATTCAATATGATTTTAACAGTTTATATAATTATAAAATAGTATATATTTATAATCCTTTTAATTATTAACAACGCACTTATTCATGTAGACACAATAGTTTGAATATGAATTTTTTAGGAATGACAATATTTATTTTTATCACTAAGTCTACTAATTAAGTTTATTATTCATTTAATATTTTTAAATTAATTTTTATTAATATCTATATAAATGAAAATAATTTTTAGGGTAATTACACATTTAGCCTATAAACTGTTACTTTTATTCTATTTTGGTACTCAAACTTTATTTTTTAAACCTAACATTTACTTTATGTTTCATTTTAGTACAATGCCATTAAAAACTTAACGGTGATGTTGGCGTGCCACCATCATATAATACCATGTCATCTTTTAAAAAATAAAAAAATGACACGTCAATAGTTATGTTGATTTTTTAACGGCGGGATATCAAATCAAAGCCTAAAATAAACACTAGGTATGTTTAAAAAAAAGTTGAAGTACTAAAACGGGACAAAAGTAATAGTTAGGTACTAAAGTAATATGTTTAAAATGAACTAAACATACAATTTGAAAGAAATGTATGTGAATTTAAACCAACCAAGTGATCTCAATGGTAAAAGAGAATGTCGTCCTTCTTAGAGGTTATGAATTTCAGCTACTGTGTCTGTATGGTGTGTGTATATTATTAATAGAATAATTTTTTGTATAAATACTACGTTGGTGATTTATGCATATTGATTGTTGAATTCTAGACATTAAAAAGATTACAAGTGGCGATCCTAAGATACACTTGGTTTAAAGAATGTGATAAGTCCCTATTTCCTAAAAGTTGATGGAATTTGTAGATTCTTAGACATTGGCTTTGGGATTTAAACTTTTTTATGGACGGTTAGATGTTGATTTGATGAGAATTTGATGCATATGCATGATGATTTGTTGTGTGATGTTAGTATTAGTTGAGTCGAATTTGAACCGTGTTAAACTTGATTTAATTTAAAAAGTATAAGATTGAATTCGACTTAATTCGAAAATTTATAAGCTTAAAATTGTCAAGCTTGACTCGAACTCGAAATAAAAAATTAAAGCTCAATTCGAAAGTTCGTGAGCTTAAAATTTTAAAGCTAGACTCGAAATAAAAAAATTGAGCTCGAGAAAACTTGAACTCAAAATATTTTCAGACTTAGCTCAATTGAAGCTTAAACTTGAGCTCGAACATAAATCTTAAGTACATGAAAGCCTTACATTGTATTTTTAAATATATATATATATATATATTATTAACAATAATTTAATTTTAAAAAATCTAAAGTTTTAATATATTATTTTTTTCAAGTTACTCATAAATTTTTCGAACCGAGTATTAAGTAGCTCGCTTCAGTTCCTTGAGAATTCGAATTCAGTTCAAGCTTGAATCGAGTCTATTCAATTTGAGAGTTAACCAAACTCTAACTAAGTTGATATAGAATAACTCTCATATCCGTATTGTCTTATTTACAACCCTAATTAGTATGATGCATGTATAGCTGGTTTACACGCATGGTCTAGTACGCGAAATGATGTGATTGTGAGCTATGGATGTTATGAACATGTTTAATATGTTAAAGTTAACGTGACTTGTTGGAATAGTGTTGTAACCTAAAATGTATGAAATGATATTGTCTGTTTATGTCGCATTGATACGGTACGGGATAGGAACGAGATGAAAAAATAAATTTTAAAATTATAAGGTACAAGTACGATAAATATAAAATAAATTTTAAAATTTTAAAAGACATAAAAGATAACAAAATATTTATTAAAGTCCATAGTGATTAGAATTCTTTGATAAAAATGGAGATTATAGTGAATGTAAACAAATCTTCAACACGATTTGAATTTAGTTTATTCCTCCTAAGAGAGTGGACGAATGAATAAGTATTCAAATTTCTATCACAAGAAAAGGATGAAGTAAGTCGTCCAAATACTTTGAAAGTTAAAGATTAGAGCAATATAGTTTCGACACAAGTTAGTCTATAACTTTTTAGAAATGAAAAATACCTTTTCGTAAGAGAAATTCAACCCTAATTAAAAAAAATAAAATTATATTATAATTCATCTATATCTTTTTTATTATTTAAATCTTACAAATAATCATAGATACGTGCATAAAGATCAAATATCGTCCCGGATACGTCCTCGAAAATTTCTCTGACTTGCCCAATTAAAATTCAACCATACCCCTTAAATGCGGACGTCCCTGATATATACTCAAACTGTACCCATTCTATACCTATGTTAGGGACTTGTTGAGTTATTGGTACAACTAGGGCTGCAAATGAGATGAGACAGATCGTGAGTTATTCGAGATCGATCAGTCAAAGTTTGATTAATACTCGACTCGAGTTATTAACGAAACGAAATGAATTACTTTATATTCGATTCAAAAAGATGGCGAACAACTCGAAAAAAATTATAATTATAATTTTATTTTTAAAATTTAAAATTATTAATAATATTAACAGTTATATGTTGATCTTTTAAAAAATACAATATAATATTTTTATGTACTTAAGGTTTATGTTCGAGTTTGAGCTTGAACCGAGTTAAGTTTAAGATTTTTTTTAGCTTTTACGAGCTTCAATTCATGGTTTCAAATTTGAGTTGAACTTAAAAATTTGAGGCTCATGAGTTATCGAGCCGAATCGAACTCTATTTTAAAGTTTTCAAATTGAACTCAATAATACTTGAATTTGACTCGACTGGGCTCTAGATACGGCATTAAGAGGACGTACCCGTGCTACATAGTTGTCGGAGCATGTTATGTATAAACAATGGCCTAAAACGAATCACTGGATATATATTTTCATTTATTGTGTTTTTTTGCTTTTTGAAGTCAAATTCAACATACAAGTTTATTTATGTAATTGATGTGTTGATAATATGTTAGGAGTATGTTTAGGATGTTTGAGGATGATTGGTGTCATTAAAAAATAATAATGTATTTTTATTCTGCAATATCAATATTATATTGATAAGGCTAGGGCTCATTGTTGAGGTCGTTTTTGTTCAAATAAGGTTGGGCTCAATTGCAGCCCCAACTTCAACTAAACCGACTTAAACTCTAAAGTACCCAACGGTTATAATTGATCTTGATGAATTAATAAATAGACCCGTTGGGTCTGGGTTAATTCATTGTCAGATAGACACGAGTATTGCATTTTTTTACTATTTCTTTCCCGCCCTGATCACTCCCGAATCCATCCCTTCTGAAGAGTCGAGTTCAAGTCTCTTTGTACGATCTCTTTTCGGAGTTTCAATTTTTTCGTTTCTTGCGAATTGTTGTTGGTGATCGCTAAACCCTAGTATACAACCATGAGTTGTTCTTGGGTTTTCTCCGGTGGCGCTCAAAGATCCGCGGGGCGGGTACTGATAGAAGGGTAAGTTTGGAGAACTTTATGTGCCATAGTAGTCTTGAAATCGAATTCGGCGAGTGGGTTAATTTCATTACCGGTCAAAACGGAAGTACATATCTCATCTCTCTCTCTCTCTCTCTCTCTATGTATATATATATATATATATATTGTGCATTTGATTCATGTTAATAATTTTCTTGGAATATGATACGAGCGACATGTTTGTTTGTTTGGTTTTTTGTGTTCCTAGGAGGGAAGAGCGCGATACTAACTGCTTTATGTATAGCGTTCGGCGGAGAAACTAAAAGAGCTTCGAAGTTGAAGGAATTTATAAAAACTGGCTACAAGTTTATTCTTTTTCTTCTTTTGCTTTTAATTGTTTGGTTTAGTCACGGTTAATCTGTTTGATATATCTGATATCTATCTTAATTCTCAGTTATGCTATTGTTCAAGTAAATATTAAAAATGGAGGAGTTGATTCTTTTAAGCCAGATATTTTCGGTGATACCATTATTATAGAACGCAGGATTACTGACTCTACGAGCTCCATTGTTTTGAAAGATTGTCAAGGTTTGAATCATTTTCTTCCGAATTTGCTTTAATGTCCAATGGTCTGTCTGATTACTTCTGAATGACGTGTTTTTCTTAATAAAAAATCAAACAAACAGATTTTTTTGCATGTGCAATTGTGTGGCGAGTAGTTTTGACATATGTAAATTGATTTTATTAATGTTTTTCTTTGCAGATTAAGTTCTTGTAATTTCTCTTAGCTTATAGAAATAATTTCGCCTTGAAGACCTTCACATCACTGATCCATTTTCCCTTTTATAGATTAAGTACCATGAAACAAATCAGCGTGAGATAGATGATCAAATTCGTGAGCTTCTTCTATATCAAGCCAACAGGGTCTGGGTAACTCTTGTTTTCTTTTTTATTTATTTGTTTTACATGAAAGGCATGAGGATGCTGTGCTTTTTTATTCCCCTAAACTTTTTAAGGACAACTTTGAACTTGATTTTTTTTCTTGGACTGGTTATAGCTTTTGGTGGGGATGAAGTGCTACGTCTTCTACGTGAAATTGAGAGGCATCAACGTGCATTTACCGTGCCGCCTATTGGTCCAATTGGTGCTCATGTGTTGACTGATGGAAAATAGCTACAGAAAATTTTGAGCACACTTCTTACACCTAGGAACTAAACAACTAAATCTTTATTTGATAATATAAGATCGGCTTGTTCATTTGGTGTTGGCTACATAATGCAGAATGTTGAATTCTTTTCATATTTTCCTTTCTCTAGATCTCTTTGTTAATGGTATAGGCAATTTAGGGATTTTTATGGTATAAGAACATTTGCTCGCAGGGGTTGTATTGAAGCTTTTTTTTTGTGGAAAAATCATGTAGAAATTGTTTTTAGTCTGCAAATAGATCTCTTCTGATTCTATAAGTAATTCTTGACGACTTTTTGGCAATTGTTGCTAGTTTTGTGGTTATTGTGCTGCAAACATTACTCAATGGTGATACATGGGGTCCTGCTGTTGAACAAGCTATTGGAAAGTTGCTAAATGCACTCATTGTGACAAATTCTTAGGATGTTAGTGCTCATAGAAAATGCATAAAAGAGGCAAGATATAATTACTTTTCGATTGTTATACATAGGTTTTCGAACCAAGGTGAAAGGATGAGAATTCTATTTTTCTTAAAAAGCCTCTTTTCATAGTACTGATGTTTCAGTACAGTTTCCTTGATATTTGGTTATGCTTTCTTTGTAGGTTGATTATAACTGATCATTCACTCTCCCAGATGAACCACACAACTGCTCAATCTCTTTTCCAATGATAATCCTACTGGTAGAAGTGGTAATTTCATGTTTTCATCATGAATTTCTAATCTAAATCCTGATATTAGGAAATTTATTTTTTAACTACCCTCTCTGCCTATTTCTTTTCAAATTTCTTTTATCATAATCCAATGCAGCGATTACTGGTTGGTTAGTTTATCAGGAGGCAATGAGCTTGTCCATGAATATTTTTCATGCTCTCTGAAGAAGTTATTGCTGCAGGCTTATGTGTAGCACTAACATTTTTTGTATTCTCAGGTCAGAGCTGAGAGGCAAGTTATTGTCGAAGATTACAACAGGGGAAGGGCTGTTGCATTTGATCGAAGAATACAAAATGTGTTCGAGGTTTTCACCTTAGATGGATTTAAAATGCAAGTCGAGAACTAATTTCATATGTTGTTTAGTGTCTCATCCTTTTTAAAAAAGTTACTTGGTATGTTTATGTATTCTCAGGTCAGAGCTGAGAGGCAAGTTCTTCTCGAATATTACAACAGGGGAAGGGCTGTTGCATTTGATCGAAGAATACAGAACGTGTTGGAGGTTTTCACCTTAGATGGATTTAAAATGTAAGTCGAGAATTAATTTCATATGTTTTTTCATGTCTCATCCTTTTTTAAAAAGTTACTTGGTATGTTCATTATTGTCTTTGTAGGGACCAATTTTTAAGGGAGTGAGAATTGAATTTGGTTTGTGAATCTAATTACATCGTTTAGATGGATTTATAAGTTTGTGCTTGTCAAATTATGCATGAAGAATTTTGTTCACTTCTCAAATATAAGATTGTTCTCATCTTTGTAGGGACCAATTTTTAAGGGAGTGAGAATTGAATTTGGTTTGTGAATCTAATTACATCGTTTAGATGGATTTATAAGTTTGTGCTTGTCAAATTATGCATGAAGAATTTTGTTCACTTCTCAAATATAAGATTGTTCTCATCTTGAATTCAATTTGAATTTAATCGTAAAACTTGAATTTAAGAATTTACGATCATTTGATTACTTTAAATTCCATGTTGTTGGATGCGATTGAACTGCCATCTCATGTGCCCAACAATTCTATCCAGATATAGTTATGCTAAAACATGTTTATAACAAATGGTTATAGGAATGATCAAGTGCTGGTTTGATTATTGAAAGTGACCTAGCATTGTAATGGTTACAAGATATTGTAATTTGGATGCTTTCTTTGCTTGTTCTCTTCTCCACCTGCTAAACATGGATTTTCATTTGCTTGGGTGTTTTATTGATTTCTCAGGTTTTCACGGGGTTCAGTTCATACAGTTCTCCTTGTAAAGAAGAACCTTAGAATTGGTCGTCTTTGTGGTTTTTAATGATCAAATTAGGGGGTTCGAGGGAGATAGAGAAAAACTTCAATATTTTAGATCTAAGATAATAAGAAGGTAAAAATAATGTGCTAAAATTTGTGTGTAGACCTTTTCTACTTTTTGATATTTATTTACTTTCTTTATTTGTTTAAGTGGTGTTAAAAGTTTCTCCATTTTTAGTTTTTTAATATATGTACAAGCATAGGTATTACTGTTTCCATATTAAGTAATTCTTGACGACTTTCTGGAAACAATTGCTAGTTTTGTGGTTATTGTGTTGCAGACAGACATCAGTCAATGGTGATACATGGGCTCCTGCTGTTGAACAAGCTATTGGAAAATTGCTAAATGGATTCATTGTGACAAATTCTCAGGATGCTACTTCTCTTAGAAAATGCGCAAAGAAGGCAAGATATAATTACTTTCTGACTGTTATAAATAGGTTTTCGAGACCAAGGTGAAAGGATGATAATTCTATTTTTTTTTAATAAAAAAAGCCTCTTTTCATAGTACTGATGTTTCAATACAATTTCCTTGATATTTGGTTCTGCTTTCTTTGTAGGTTGATTATACCAGATCATTCACTCTCCCAGACAAATCACACAACCACCCAATCTCTTTTACATTCTGATAATCCTACTGTTTTCAATGTTTTGGTAGATGTGGTAATTTCATGTTTTCATCATGAATTTCCAATCTAAATCCTGCTATTAGGAAATTTACTTTTTAACTACCCTATCTGCCTATTTCTTTTCTTTTATCATAATCCAATGCAGTGGTTACTGGTTGGTTAGTTTAGCAAGAGGCAATGAGCTTGGTCCATGAATATTTTTCATGCTTGCTCTTAAGAAGCTATTGCTGCAGGCTTATGTGTAGCACTAACATTTTCTGTATTCTCAGGGTAGAGCTGAGAGGCAAGTTCTTGTCGAAGATTACAACAGGAGAAGGGCTGTTGCATTTGATCGAAGAATACAGAACATGTTGGAGGTTTTCACCTTAGATGGGTTTAAAATGTAAGTCGAGAACTAATTTTATATATTGTTTCATGTCTTATCCTTTTTAAAAATGTTACTTGGTATGTTCAATATTGTCTTTGTAGGGACCAATTTTTAAGAGAGTGAGAATTGAATTTGGTTTGTGAATCTAATTACATTGTTTAGATGGATTTCAAGTTGTACTAGTTCTGAAAGGCACAAATCTAAGATCTCTAATCTTTTATTATAATTTTTATTTTGTTTTCTTTATGTTTATGCTTGTCAAATTCTGCCTGAAGAATTTTGTTCACTTCTCAAATCTAAGATTGTTCTCATCTTGAATTAAATCTGAATGTAATCGTAAATCTTGAATTTAAGAATTTATGATCATTTGATTACTTAAAATTCCATGTTGTTGGATGGGATTGAACTGCTATCTCATGTGCCCATCAATTCTATCCAGATGTAGTTATGCTGAAACATGTTTATAACAAATGGTTAGAGATACTGTAATTTGGATGCTTTCTTTGCTTGTTCTCTTCCCCACCTGCTAAACATTGTTTTTTTTCCTTGGGTGTTCTATTAATTTCTCAGGTTTTCACGAGGTTCAGTTCAGACATTGCATACTATCTCCAATAGGAGATCTTGATTTTCTCAAATTTGGTTTTGGTTACAGTGTTTTAAATCTTTATATCAATGACTTTGTTCGGTGTTATTATACCCAAACAATTATTCTTTACTTATTTTGGAATATAAAATAGGTTGATGCTTGTTCTGATGCATTGCATTTAAGTTGAATTTTCAAATTTCTCATTTTTATTGGTTGTCTTGACTGGGTTTCTTTTTAGTTGAAAGGAGTAATTTCAAAAATAAATGTGTATTTCACCTACTCTATGCTCATTCTACTCTGCCATGCACATGTAATGTTCTGTTTGTTTTATAATCTTTAACAAGTTTTATGTATTTTCTCTAATAATATTTTCTTTGCAGAAGGATGCAGAAAAGATGTACAGAATGCTAAAAACCATTGAATCGCAGGGTAAAGAGAGTTATATGCCATGTTGTCTTTGTGGTGGAACTATACATTCCTTTAAGGCACTTAGCATCGAAGCAGAAAGTGTTAAGAGTAAAACCAGCGGTGATGGGCTGCAACCAAGTCAAAGAGAAAAGGTTGAAAATCTTGGAATAAGTATAATAATTTTGATTTCTGGGTCACAGTAATATTATATAGTTTATTTACTCCTTTCCAGTGATTCAGTTCCAAAAGCTAGCTTGCCTTGGATAGTTTTCAGTCATCAAAGTCATTTTGCCTTTTATATCTCCTCTGGATTATTTTAATGTGCTATAGGCATATCAGTTCACCATGATCTTGTTTTTCCTGCCGTCAAAGAAACCTACTGGATATAGATCTGATCTTTGTAACCCTTGCAATAGCCCTCATTTGATGCTAAAAAGCAATTTGCATGCTTGCTTTGATGGTTAACATGTTATTAATCTCAACCTTTTCCAAGATGGGTGTTTTAGCATACTGCTAGATCTCTTACCTCCTTTTCTAGAGAATTATGATGCGAAAAAAAGAAAGTTGTATTGTTGAATTTAAGCAACTAGTTTCCTCTCTGTTTTGATAGATGGCATGGTAGCATTTACTGTAACTGGTAATTCCAACCATTGTAAGAATATGGGATACAGTAGTGGCCTTCCACGTTATGTGAACAATTTATTTAAACTGTTATTTCTTTCCCAAGTGCATGGCCCTTCTCTTTATATCTTTAGAGACTCTTATGTGGTTTCAATCTTGTTCCCCGTCACCATCATGTGGTTATTGATGTTTGAAAAAAATTGCATATAAAGCGGTTTGAGTTCAGTGTTATTATGCAGTCATGACTTGGCAGTACTTGCCATACAATCACAATTACTTATTTTAGAAAATAAGTTAGGATTTACCGTGCTGATATGCTAGTACATTGCATTTAAGTTGGAATTTCCAATTTCTCATGTTCATTTGGTTGTTGTTGTTATTATTATTATTTGAAAATGAACTTGTATTTCACCTTTTCCATTCTTATTCTATTCCACAGCACCACACAATGTTCAGTTTATTTTATAATGTGTAATAAGTTCTATGTATTCTCTAACAATGCTGTCTTTGCAGAAGGATGTGGAGAAGATTTACAAAAAGCTAAAAACCATTGAGCTGCAGAATAAAGAGAGTTCTATGTCATGTTTTCTTTGTGGTAGAATGTTACGTTCCTTCAAGGTGCTTAAAAATGAAGATGAGAGTATTGCGCGTAATGCCAGCAGTGATAGGTTTCTCCCTGTAAAGAAGAACCTTAGAATTGGCCGTCTTTGTGATTCTTTTGATGATCAAATTAAGGAGTTTGAAAGTCATGTATCAAATATTAAATAAGATATTGATCAGAGCAAGAGTAGGAAGAGGGAGATAGAGAAAAAACTTCAAGATTTTACATCGAAGATGATAAGAAGGTAAAAATAATGTGCTAAATTTGTGTGCAGACCTTTTCTACTTTTTTAACATTTATTTACTTCCTTTATTTGTCCAAGTGGTGCTATCCCACATCCATCAAGTTTTCGGTTTTCTTTGGTTTTATATTCATGTTGGTATGTTCACTTATCATCAATTTGTTTTAGTTTGGATGCTTAACATGGTATTAGAACTTAGGCGTGTTATGTTATTCTTGCCTAGTCTCATATAAGGTCAATTGCACGACAGAGCGCGATACTAACTGTTTTATGTATAGCGTTCGGCAGAGAAACTCAAAGGGCTTCGAAGTTGAAGGAATTTATAAAAACTGGCTGCAGGTTTATTCTTCTTCTTTTGCTTTTAATTTTTTGATTTAGTTACGGGTAATCTGTTTGATATATCTGATTTCTTTCTTAATTCTCAGTTATTCTATTGTTCAAGTGGATATTAAAAATGAAGGAATTGATTCTTTTAAGCCAGATATTTTCGGTGATACCATTATTATAGAACACAGGATTGCTGAGTCTACGAGCTCCAATGTTTTGAAAGATTGTCAAGGTTTGAATCATTTCCTTTCAAGTTTGCTTTAATGTCCAATGGTATGGTCTGTCTGATTACTTCTGAATGACGTGTTTTTTTAATAAAAAACCAAACGAACAATTTTTCACATCAGTAAGCGGATTAATTGAAATTTTCAAGCCATTCAATTTTGTGTATTATGTGCTCATCATGGGTCTTTCTTTGCTAAATGCCAATTTTGGTGATACCTCTATTTACTTGATTTGATTTTTTTTCCAGGTATCCAGTTTTAGTCGTTAATTTTTATGCTCCTTGGTGCTTCTGGAGTACTCGCCTGGTAATCTACTATTAGCATGTCTGATCTTTCACTCGAAGATACTTGTTGAAAACATTATTTGTTTAGCTCTTCTGTGTAAAGTGGCCCTCAAGCATAACTTATTATACTGATATAGTTGCCATATCTTCTAATTATAGTAATCCCTTTTCTGACTTTATATTCTTCATTGATACTATTATATTTAACAACCCCTCTTCTTTCTTTTTTTAGGATAAATGAGCATTTTAATAACCTCTAATATGCTTTATAGTGCGATATTTTCTTTAGCGGACCCTACTTTGTGAGGGCCCGTGTCTACCTTTAAACAAACACATATTTGTTTCAATATTAAAAAAAGCAAAATAGCATTTTGTATGAATTAAACCCTTGCTTCTAATGAGTTTGAAATCTTAGGTCAAACTGATAGTAATGACATGCTTTGAGCTGTTATGAATTATGACTAACTATATTTGTAGCTTCACCATGTTCTTTTTGGGCTTCAGAGCTCGCCATGGGAGAAAACTGCCAATATAATAAAAGAGAGGTCTGAGAATGCATTATTTCTCTTCCATGGAACAAATTTATTAGTACTTTCTTGATTTGGCTATGAATTTTGCACCCTTGCTTTTGACAGATATGATCCAGAAAGTGATGGACGTATTCTTTTGGCGAAGGTTGATTGCAGTGTAGAAGTTGACTTGTGTAGTAGGTATTTCCTTGTTTCATTTTCTATCACAAGTAAACTGATGCTTTATTGTTTGATAATATATCATCATTTGACCTGTTATAATCTAAGAAATAAACCGAAAGAGAGGGGAAGAATAAAAGAGATGCAAGAGAAATCTGATTGTTGAATTAGGAGATTACAATAGTTTAAATAAATTGAGTTGCTGACTTCTAATACTTTTCTGCTAAAGATACAATTCTATCTAGAGATAGAGATTATAAAGACTCCTAAGACTTATCCTTCCTAATCATAAAAGACTCTTAAACAAATGAGACTTCAACACGGCTGATTCTGACATGACCATGCATTCTGACTCTTTAACCATATTGTTGCATTCTGATCTCTTTGACGTTGCAGATACATATTAATATTTATCACATCATATATTTAAACTGTGTTTTCTTGCTTGTTGTATAGAATTATTTCCCAAATTTTTTCATCTTTTTATAGCTTTACCACATGTTTAATCTTTCTCTTTCTTCCTTAACTAGTTTCTTCATTACTATTGTGCTCACTTGTTCCGTCCTCTTCTTAACACAGTCATCACATCTAAGGGTATCCATCCATTCGTATTTTTCGTAAAGGCAGCGATGTGAGGTAAAAGATTGTATAATCCGTTCTTCCTCATTCCACCTTTTGTTTATGCCACTTGTTACTTAATAATATTACATTCCAATATGTTAAGCTTCCACTTCTCTTTGACCCTTATTACTTTCCTTTAGGCTATTTAGTACCACTGAACTTTATGATCTGTGCAATACAAACTCACCTTATTCTCTGACCTGTAAGTGTTTCAGGGAATCCCATGGACACCACGAACACAAATCTTATTATGGAGATCGTGATACAGAAACCCTGGTTAAGGTATGACTAAATTAGTTTTGAACTGGCCATTTGAGTTTATAGATCGGTTACAGAAATCTTATAAGATAAAGGTGCATACATGACCTAATGCTGCTGTCTGTTTCTTCCAGATGACGGGAGGATGCAGAATTGAAGGATACGTGCATGCAAAGAAGGTGATATTTATAATATTAGATTAGACTGACAATTCTACATATTATTTGGCATATAATTAGTTTGTCGAATCATTTATGTTTAACCTTGAGATAAATGAGGAGCTGAAAGTATTACTTGAGTTGCACCTTGCAGGTTCCTGGCAACCTTATCATCTCCGCTCGTTCAGGAGCCCATTCTTTTGATGCTTCTCGAATGAACATGTCTCATGTCATACGCCATCTTTCTTTCGGTAAAACAGTTTCACCTCAGCCCTTAGGTATTAAGTGATGTCAAGCGACTCATACCTTTTCTTGGTAGAAGCATGACAAGTTGAATGATCAATCGTTCATTAATCACCAAGATGTAGATGCCAATGTCACTGTAAGTTTTCCCTTTCTTGCGACCCTTTTTGCATATGCAATTTGTGTGGAGAATAGTTTTGACATATGTAAATTGACTTTATTGTTGTTTTTCTTTGCATGTGTTAAAAGGTTTTAGAGGATAAGTGATCATGGGAAATAAAAGGTCCAACAATATAACATTCTAAGATTATGGGACATTCTCAGGTTAAATTATTGATTCTAGATACTCTTCTGTCTGATTACTTCTGAATGACGTGTTTTTTATTATATAAAAAAACATGCAAACAATTTTTTTTTGCTTGTGCAATTTGTGTGGATAGTAGTTTTAACATATGTAAATTGACTTTGTTGCAATTTTTCTTTATAGATTAAGTTCTTGTAATTTCAGGATTTATTTCTCTTAGCTTATAGAAATAATTTCGTCTTGAAGACCTTCACATCACTGATCCATTTTCCATTTTATAGATTAAGTACCATGAAACAAAGCAGCGTGAGATTGATCATCAAATTCGTGAGGGCAACTCTTGTTTTCCTTTTTATTTATTTGGTTTACATGAAAAACATGAGAATGATGTGCGTTTTGGTTCCCCTAAACATTTTAAGGACAACTTTGAACTTGATTTTCTTTTCTTGGACTGGTTACAGCTTTTGGTGGGGATGGAGTGCTACGTCTTCTACGTGAAATTGAGAGGCATCCTTGCATTTACTGTGCCACCTATTGGTCCAATTGGTGCTCATGTGATAAGTGATGGAAAATTACTACAGAAAATTTTGAGCACACTTCTTACGCCTTGGAACTAAGCAGCTAAATCTTTATTTGATAATATAAGACCGGCTTGTTCATTTGGTGTTGGCTACAGAATGCTGAATGCTTTTCATATTTTCTTTCTCTAGATCTCTTTGTTAATGGTGTAGGCAATTTAGGGATTTTTACAGTAGAAGAACATTTGCTCGCATGAGTTGTATTGAAGCTTCTTTTTCTTTTTTGTTTTTTTTGGAAAAATCACTTGGAAATTGTTTTTAGTCTGCACATAGATCTCTTCTGATTCCAGAGGCTTTTTCCTATGAAAGTTTCTCCATTTTTAGTTTTTTAATATATGTACAAGCATAGGTATCACTGTTTCCATATTAAGTAATTCTTGACGACTTTCTGGAAACTATTGGTAGTTTTGTGGTTATTGTGTTGCAGACAGACATCAGTCATTGGTGATACATGGGCTCCTGCTGTTGAACAAGCTATTGGAAAGTTGCTAAATGGATTCATTGTGACAAATTCTCAGGATGCTAGTTCTCTTAGAAAATGCGCAAAGAAGGCAAGATATAATTACTTTCCGACTGTTATAAATAGGTTTTCGAGACCAAGGTGAAAGGATGAGAATTCTATTTTTTTAAAAAAAAGCCTCTTTTCATAGTACTGATGTTTCAATACAATTTCCTTGATATTTGGTTCTGCTTTCTTTGTAGGTTAATTATACCAGATCATTCACTCTCCCAGACAAATCACACAACCACCCAATCTCTTTTACATTCTGATAATCCTACTGTTTTCAATGTTTTGGTAGATGTGGTAATTTCATGTTTTCATCATGAATTTCCAATCTAAATCCTGCTATTAGGAAATTTACTTTTTAACTACCCTCTCTGCCTATTTCTTTTCTTTTATAATTTTCTTTTATCATAATCCAATGCAGTGGTTACTGGTTGGTTAGTTTAGCAAGAGGCAATGAGCTTGGTCCATGAATATTTTTCATGCTTGCTCTTAAGAAGCTATTGCTGCAGGCTTATGTGTAGCACTAACATTTTCTGTATTCTCCGGGTAGAGCTGAGAGGCAAGTTCTTGTCGAAGATTACAACAGGGGAAGGGCTGTTGCATTTGATCGAAGAATACAGAACGTGTTGGAGGTTTTCACCTTAGATGGGTTTAAAATGTAAGTTGAGAACTAATTTTATATATTGTTTCATGTCTTATCCTTTTTAAAAATGTTACTTGGTATGTTCAATATTGTCTTTGTAGGGACCAATTTTTAAGAGAGTGAGAATTGAATTTGGTTTGTGAATCTAATTACATTGTTTAGATGGATTTCAAGTTGTACTAGTTCTGAAAGACACAAATCTAAGATCTCTAATCTTTTATTATAATTTTTATTTTGTTTTCTTTATGTTTATGCTTGTCAAATTCTGCCTGAAGAATTTTGTTCACTTCTCAAATCTAAGATTGTTCTCATCTTGAATTCACTCTGAATGTAATCGTAAATTCAAATTCACTCTGAATGTAATCGTAAAGCTTGAATTTAAGAATTTATGATCATTTGATTACTTAAAATTCCATGTTGTTGAGTGGGATTGAACTGCTATCTCATGTGCCCGTCAATTCTATCCAGATATAGGTATGCTGAAACATGTTTATAACAAATGGTTAGAAGATACTGTAATTTGGATGCTTTCTTTGCTTGTTCTCTTCCCCACCTGCTAAACATTGATTTTCATTTCCTTGGGTGTTCTATTAATTTCTCAGGTTTTCACGAGGTTCAGTTCAGACATTTCTCCCTGTAAAGAAGAACCTTAGAATTGGCCGTCTTTGTGGTTCTTTTGATGATCAAATTAAGGAGTTTGAAAGTTATGTATCAAATCCCACTTTCATTAAGTTTTCGGTTTCTTTGGTTTTATATTCATGTTGGTATGTTCACTTATCATCAATTGGTTTTAGGTTGGATGCGTAACATGGTATTAGAACTTAGGCGTGTTATGTTATTTTGGCCTAGTCTCATATAAGGTGAATTACATGTAGGCCCTTGTTGAACTTAGTTACATGTATTAGGAAATAAGAGGTATTGTCTCACACCTATGAAGTATTTAGGTTTTTTTGGTCTTATATTCAGGTTCGGCTCCACCGTCCAGTATCGATTGGTTTTAGGTTGGATGCATAACACTTTTATCCTTCTGTTTAAAATTCTTTTTCAATCTTACGTGTAGGCCCTTGTTGAACTTAGTTACATGTATTAGGGAGTGTTAAGAGGTATTGTCTCACACCTATGAAGTATTTAGGTTTTTTTTGGCCTTATATTCAAGTTCGGCTCCACCGCCCATTATCGGTTGGTTTTAGGTTGGATGCATAACACTTTTTTCCTTCTGTTTAAAATTCTTTTTCAAGCTTAATAATAGTCTAAATAGTGCGTTTCCTTGCACATAATTTATATCTTTAAAAGTGAAATTGTGCCATTGTCACCTACTCTGTGTGCCTTAATTTCTTGCATAAGCTCGTGGGTGTAATAATTACCGATGACAAGAATCCCCTTCATCTTCCCAAAGCATATCTTTTAATCATTCTCTTTGTTTTCTGTATCACTTTTTCGGTTCATATATGCTAGTATGCCCTATGATCCATGCTTCACTTGTGTTGTGCAAAAAGGCGCTTGGATGGGGAGAATGATTTCATGGTTAAGAAGAGTCTGACATTTTACTCCCAAATAAATGTTTTTATCTTTTTGGGAACTTTTTACTCCCAAATCATTTATAAGTTAAAGAGGTTAGAAGAGTGACATTTTCATAATTGATTAATGTTGAACTCCAGTATTATTCTGATGATTTGTTGACTAGGAGGGGAGTGCTTCTCAGCATTTTGCTTTGTGCTGGCTCTTCATGATATGACCAAAGCCCCATTTCGAGCTATGGATGAGTTTGACGTTTTCATTGTGAGTGATTTTGTTTCCTTTTTGGGTTGGGGACTTGGGGTTGTAGTCTTTAGCATCACATCCCTTGGGATTAAGGTAAATGCTATTCTTCGTAGCAATAACACGTGGACTGAGCAGTTATGTGTAATATTTTCCTCCAGGATGCAGTTACCCAAAAAATCAACCTGTACACTTTAGCTGAATTTGCATATTCTATTGTTTTCTTATATCTTTTCCCCTTTTGTTAACTAGTCTGGTCAAAGTTAGCTCTCATTCATTTACCATGAAATTTTTTATTATTTGCAGGAGAAATTGGACAAACGCTTTTCAAAGAAGAAAGTTCAAGTTGCTTTTTTGGTGGAAAAAACATGAAGTTAGAAGAAGGAAGGATGAATTGCGGGATGCTTTTTGCCTGGTACATTAATTGTTCCCCATCTTTGTTATTTCAAAAGACAGGTTGAATCACAAGTCTTATGTTGTGAGTCAACCTTTCGGTGATTACTTGATTTCCTTAACATTTTTGCTAGGCTTATTATCAGTTTTCATATCAAACTCTTTCCTCGTTATTGTCTGCTCATTGATCTATCATCATATTCTATAACTCATGTGTAAGCTTTTATGCGTATGCTGTGTAATCATTGGTCTGACCTTAATATTTATAATTTTACGTTCAAGTTTATGTTTGTTTGATTGTTTTTGATTTCTGAATTTTCATCTCTGTTCATTATAGGCAAGAAATGAAAAGCTTGAGCTTGAAGAAGAGCACCGCTGTGGCACTCAGCAACTCCAAAGGATGTTGAATGATGTTAGGATGCTTGAAGCAAGTCCATGATATTCAGGAGAATCATATTAGAAATACACAGGTCTTTCATGGTTTTTTCTTCAACGTCACTTGTTAGTATTTTCTTTTTGACTACAGATGAGGTACCATTCATTTTGAAATAACATATATGTTAAAGTATGCTTATTCTTACATAATATTCATGTATTGTGTGCACATTTTAATTTGACATTCTGTGAAAAATATATGTATTCTGAGTTCAATTAGAAATATGGCTATTTTTATGCATGTAACAACATAGAAAAATACGATCTTGTTTACATCTTTAAAAGAGTACACCCTAGTAGGTACAACCATATGTATTTTTTTTTGGAAAAATCACTTAAAAATTGTTTTTAGTATGAACATAGATCTCTTATGATTCTAGAGGCTTTTTCCTATGAAAGTTTCTCCATTTTTAGTATTTTTTTTATAGGTACAACCATATGTATCACTGTCTCCATATTAAGAAATTCTTGTCGACTTTCTGGGAATTGTTGCTAGTTTTCTGGTTATCGTGCTGCAGACACTAGTCAATGATGATACGTGTGTTCCTGCTGCTGAACAAGCTATTGGGAAGTTGCTAAATGCTTCCAGTGAAATTCTCAGGATGCTAGTGCTCTTAAAAAATGTTCAAAGGAGGCAAGATATAATTACTTTCCAATTGTTATACATAGGTTTTCGAGACCGAGGTGAAAAGATGAGAACTCTAATTTTCTTAAAAAGACTCTTCTCATAGTACTGATGTTTGAGTACAATTTCTCTGATATTTGGTTCTTCTTTCTTTTGTATGTTGATTATTCCAGATCATTCACTCCCCTAGACGAACCACCCAACTGCTCAATCTCTTTTACATTCTGATAATCCGACTGTTTTCAATGTTTTGGTAGATGAGGTAATTTTTTTCCTTTTGTTTAAAATTCCTTTTCAAGCTTAATACTTGTGTAAAAAGTGTGTTTCCTTGCACATAATGCGTATCATTAAAAGTAAAATTGTGCCATTGTCACCGACTCTGTGTGCCTTAATTCCTTGCATAGGCTCGTGGGTGTAATAATTGCTGATGGCAAGAATTCCTTCATCTTCCCTAAGCTTATCTTTTAATCATTCTCCTTGTTGTTTGTATCTCTTTTTGGGTTCATATATGCCCGTATGTCCTATGATCAATGCTTCACTTGTGTTGTGCAGAAATGGCGCTTGGATGTGGAGCGTGATTTCATGGTTAAGAGAAGGAAACTGGAGGATGTGCAGAAGTCACAGTGTGTTGCCTGAGTCAACTACTAATGAACTTCTTTAAGAAATTTCAGTTTGTTCCATGATTGAAAACCTTGCTTTTATACTTATATTTGAGCAAGTTAAAATCCTTTTCTAATGATATCTTCATCATTGAATCGTCTTTAGGATGCTAAAATGTTGATGAAGATGGAGGCATTGCTAGAAACACTTAAAGAGAGGTCTAATGCAGCAGAAGAAAAAGCCAGAACTCTTAAGTTATCGTTCGAAGATTTTGGGGGTATTATTTTAGTAAACTATATTTAATGTTTAGTTCAATTTTGCATGTGGCTTTACTTGCATTCAGTTTAACCCCCTATGCGTATCATAAAATCAACAAAGGGGGAGGTTGAAGCTTCTCATAAAGCATAGGAGGAACTAACAGTCTAACAAAGATGGAGAAAGAGAGAAATAATGCAGAAGCAGTTTACTTTCTGCTCCTTTAACTTTTTATTCATTTACTTCAGTAACTATCTTGTGGAAACTTGAATTCAGAAATTGAAGTTTCTGTTTCAGAATAGGGTCCAGTACGAAAATGTTATGAAAGAAAAGGTTCTTCCTCAAATTAAGGAGGCAGAGGCAGAATATGTGGAACTAGAAAAGAATCTTAAGGTTGATATTTATGCCTTTCTAGATATACTAACCAGTTTTAGTCCATGTTATACTTCTGCAACTATTGTAGGTTATATGGCATTTGATAGTTGTTTCATTATAATGTCATTTCTCCTAATTATGAATTCTGAAAGAAATGATTGGTGCCTTACCTCAAGGTTTTTTTAGGTTGCTAGAAGTTTCTTAGCTTTTTCCTTCTTCTGCTTTGGTTGTTATATTGCAGGCTTGCTAAAATGCTCTTGATTTGCGTAGGGAAAAAATTCAACGTAATGCAGCGCTAAGACGGAAGTTGACTTGGCAATATGTGTTTTTGGTAATTATTAATCTTCTTTCATTATGATTATTTATTTATTATTCCTTGTTGGGTACAATTAGATTTAATGGCCATTTGGGGAAGAAAGGTGTCAGCAGACACATTAATGTTAATTATGATAAAGAAAAACCCTTTCAGTAAAGGTAAGCTATCTAAATTCTACTTGTTCTTTTGATCGTACTTACAATTCGCTACTTATGCATTTCGCCTGGTCACTATGCCCTTTGAAAGTCCTATGTCGTGTCTACTCAGCATTTTACAATGGGTTTGTTGATTCCATTTGGTTTAACAGGTTAAAAAGCCGTTCGTGATACAAGGGGACTTTCAGGTTTTTAAATTTCCCGTCCCATAAACTCTTTAGAATTTGTTTTTCTGGCTTTCAATGTCATCACTACAGAAAATTATCTACATGTGGCTTAATGGCTATTGTTTAATCCAAATAAATTTGATATCTTTTTGGGAACTTTTTACTCCCAAATCATCTATAAGTTAAAGAGGTTAGAAGAGTCTGATATTTTCATAATTGATTAATGTTGAACTCCAGTACTATTATGATGATTTGTTAACTAGGAGGGGAGTGCGTCTTCTTAACATTATGCTTTGCGCTGGCTCTTCATGATAGGACCGAAGCCCCATTTCGAGCTATGAATGAGTTTGGCGTGTTCATGGTGAGTGTTTGTTTCTTTTTTGGGTTAGGGACTTGGGGTTGTAGTCATTAGCATCACATCCCTTGGGATTAATGTAAATGCTATTGTCCGTCAAGAAGTCTCATGGACTGAGCAGTTATATTATTTGTAATATTTTTCTTCAGGATGCAGTTAGCCAAAAAATCAGTCTGGACAATTTAGTTGACTTTTCATATTCTATTGGTGGTTAGACTACCATATTTTGCCCCAGTTATGATAATGAATGCTTATTGTTTTCTTTTGTCTTTTCCCCTTTTTGTTAGCTAGTAAAAGTTAGCTTTCATTCATTGATCATGGAAATTTTTACTATTTGAAGTAGAAATTGGAGAAGTTGGACGAACGACTTTTAAAGAAGAAAGTTCAAGTTGTTTCTTCGGTGGAAAAAACATATGAAGTTAGAAGAAGGAAAGATGAATTGCAGGATGCTTTTTGCTTGGTACATTAATTGTTCCCCATCTTTGTTCTTTCAAAAGACAAGTTGAATCACAAGTCTTATGTTGTACATCAACCTTTCCGTGATTACTTGATAACTGAGGGCAAATAATACAACTGTTTATTTCGATTGGTTTAGTCACGGTTAAATACGAATAAAAGCTGAATTTTGAGTTTTCGTAACAAACTCTTTCCTCCTTTTTTTGTCTACTCATTGTTCTATCATCATATCATATAATTCATGTGTAAGCTTTTATTCGTATGCTGTGTAATCATTGGTCTGACCATATTATTTATGCTTTTACGTTCAAGTTTTTGTTTGTTTGATTGTTTTGAATTTCTGAATTTTCATCTGTAGAAATTAGAGGAATACCTTTTTATTTCTTTTTCAATAATCAAACAGGTTACACATCCCCTAAATATATACATGCTGAAACACCTAATTTCTAGGGATATATACAACTTACCTAGAATAGGATCAAATCTTATCTAAAACAGAAAGAAATAAACAGGAAATAAATATATAAGGATATGGTAACAAGCTACCAGAATCCCTTAATATATGGAACTGAATATTGATCTATTTGACTCTAGATTTCCTTAATTTCGGCCCTCTAACATGCAGACAGATATGCATTCAAACTAAACTCCAAATAATTCTACACTCCCCCTCAAGCTGGATGGTAAATGTTAATTAACCCCAGCTTGGAACTTAGATCATCAAAAGTCTTTCTTGGTAGAGCCTTAGTAAGAATGTCGGCTGTTTGAAGACATGTGGGTACATATAGCATTTTGATCATCCCTTCCTCTATCTTCTCCTTTATGAAGTGCCGATCAATCTCCACATGCTTAGTTCTGTCATGATGGACTGGATTCTTGGCAATGCTGATTGCTGATTGGTTATCACAGAACATCTTCATAGGTTCTCCACTAGAAATTCTTAATTCCTCTAGTACCCTTCTTAGCCATATTCCCTCACAAATACCATGGGCCATTGCCCGAAATTCAGCTTCTGCATGCTCCTTGACACCACTGATTGCTTCTTACTTCTCCATGTGACTAGATTTCCCCAACATAAGTACAATACCCTGAAGTTGATCTTCGGTCTTGTATTGATCCTGCCCAATCTGCATCACTGAACACCTCTATGTCTCTTCTTTGATTCTTCTCAAAAATAATCCTTTCCCTGGTGTTAGCTTCAGATACCTTAGGATTCTATACACCGCCTCCATATGTTCTTCATTTGGATTGTTCATAAACTGACTTACCATGCTGACTGAAAAACCAATGTCTGGTCGTGTGTGAGAAAGGTAGATAAGTTTACCTACTAGCCTTTGGTATCTGCCTTTATCCACCGGTGCACAATTTTCTTTAGTGCCTAATTTTGTTGTTGAATCCATAGGTGTGTCCGCTGGCTTACATCCAAGCATCCCAGTTTCTTTTAAAAGATCCGTACGTATTTTCTTTGGGAAACACAGATTCCTTTTCTTGACCTTGCAATTTCCATGCCTAGGAAGTATTTGAGCTGTCCAAGGTCCTTGATTTCAAATTCCTTAGCTAGAAGACCTTTGGTAGTGTTGATTTCTTCCTCATAATCTCCTGTTAGGATAATGTCATCCACATATACAATGAGGATAGCCAGTTTTCCTGCAAATGAGTGTTTGACAAACAAGGTGTGATCTGATTGACATTGAGAATAGCCATGATTCTTTATTACCTTGGTAAATTTCTCAAACCAAGCTCTTGGTGATTGCTTGAGCCCGTATAATGATCTTTTAAGTTTGCAAACTTTGTTGTCAGTTTTCGGTGTCTCAAATCCTGGAGGGATTTCCATGTAAACTTCCTCAGCTAAGTCCCCATTTAGAAAAGCATTCTTGACATCTAGTTGGTGAAGGGGCCAATCAAGATTTGCAGCTAGTGATAGGAGAACCCGAACTGTGTTTAACTTGGCTACTGGGGCAAATGTTTCTTCATAGTCGATTCCATATGATTGAGTGAATCCCTTTGCCACTAGCCGTGCCTTGAAACGATTAACACTTCCATCTTCATTGTACTTGATTGAGAATATCCATTTGCATCCTACTGGTCTTTTTCCCGATGGTAATTTTGATATTTCCCAAGTGCCATTCTTTTCCAGTGCATTTATTTCTTCAAGCACAGCAGCTTTCCACTCAGGAGATCCAAGAGCTTCTTGTATGTTATTTGGGACCTGAGTGCTGTCGAGGTTGGCAACAAACGACTTGAATTTTGGTGACAGGCCTTCATATGATATAAAGGTGTATATAGGATGTTTTGTGCAAGTTCTAACCCCTTTCCTCACGGCAATAGGATAGTCACTGTCATCACCAGTTAGTTTACTCTGTGAGGGCTCAGGATTAGGATTACCTAAAGGATCTTCACAAGATCTTGGACCAGGATCGATTCTTGGTTTTGCTGCAGAGGTGCTGGATCTTCACAAGATCTTGGACTAGGATCAGATTCTTGGTTTTGCTGCAGAGGTGCTGAAGGTTCCATCTCCTTTTGGTTCTTTCTCCTCCGTGAATAGGTAATCAACTCTTTATTAGTTGTTGATTTACTAATGTCCAGATTTTGGTATGAAGATTCTAGGGAGAGATGTTGTTGAGGAGAAATAGAGTTAGAATTTGGAGAGAGCTGAACTGATTCATCAATATCCCAAATTTGATATTCCTGGGTAAAATTGGTCTCCCCCTGAATATCAGATTTGGGGTAGTAGGGCTGGTGCTCAAAAAAAGTAACATCCATGGAGTGGTAGTACTGTTTAGTGACCGGTGAGTAGCACTTATACCCCTTTTGAGTTGGAGAGTACCCAAGGAAGATACACTTAAGTGCTCTAGGATCAAATTTATCCCTTTTATGTTGATGGACATGAACAAAGGCTGAACACCCGAAAACCTTGAAGGGAATAGTGTTGATGAGACGTGTATTTGGGAAAAACTGAAGTAAGGTTTGACAAGGACTTTGAAAGTTGAGAATCCTAGATGGCATCCGGTTTATGAGGTATGCTGCAGTGAGAATAGCTTCACCCCAGAAATGTTTCGGTACATGAGTAGAAAACATAAGAGATCTTGCAACATCTAGAAGGTGCCGATTTTTCCTTTCAGCAATTCCATTTTGCTGAGGGGTGTTGACACATGAGCTTTGATGAATGATGCCATGACTCAAGAGATAATCATTGAGTATGAATTTGAAGTATTCTTTGGCATTGTCAGTTTTCAGAATTTGGATTTTGGCTTTGAATTAAGTTTGTATCATGGTGTTGAAGTTTTTGAAAATCTGACCTGCCTCTGATTTTTCTTTCATGAGAAAGACCCATGTAAGTCGAGTGTGATCATCAATAAATGTAATGAACCAACGGGAACCAGTCACATTTTTTAGTTTAGATGGCCCCCAAACATCACTGTGAATCATTGAAAAAGGATGGGATTCTTTGTAAGATTGGTTGGGATAAGAATTACGGACATGTTTAGAGAATTGACAAATTTCACACTTGAACTCATTTGGATTTTTATTATGAAATAGAGAAGGAAACAGCTTCT